CGCTCCCCCTCCCTTGCATCCCCACTCTTGGGAAAACTTAGTTGCTCATGAAACTTGAAGCCAAGAGAAGAAGACGACCTCCTCTCCCAACCTCATCGTCATCGGTGCATGGCCGATCCTGAGATCGACCACAGATTTTATTCTTCCCGGACGTTGGAGGCTCACTAGTCATCCCATGGATTACCCGCCTCCGGCTACTTCTCCAACGTACTATACTTTGGGCGCCATTTGTCTCCTAGTGGCATCGCTCGGTTTGCTCTCAATCTTCCTCCGTTAAAGCTCCACCGTCAAGAGCGTGAGTGAGGGACCCAAGGTGAATAGTTCTATTTGTTAACCATGGATTATTGTTTCTCGCCATAACATTACTCTCTATTTATATGTTGTCAATTTGATATTATCTCGGTAATCTAGTTGTAACCGCACGCCTTACATAATTTTAACTTGATAATTCTGAAACCTAACTTGGGTAAGCATTAATTCTATAATTAGCAAAATTTTAATAATCATATATTAAAATCCCCAAGCAGTTCTTGTTTCCATGCATATATTTCACATCACATTTGGTCTTGCTATTTCTCATTGAGGAACCTAATGATCAAGGAAGCTCCACTCTATCTATTTTATTATATTTTTTAATGAAATCTTTAAATCCAATAAAGAAAGGATATGACTCAAGCACCCACTTGACCATTCCTTTTTTTGTTATTCTCAAAGCTATGTTTCTTTTGTTATTAAAAATATTAATATTGAAGAATTTTATTGTGATACTTGTGTTATAGAAAAACATAAACATACTAATTTTCTAATAAATAACCCAAGAAACCGAAGCCTTAATTGGGGGCTATCCTCTTCACTTAACTTATCTAGAATTTGATGGTTTGTTTCCTTTATTGATAATTCAACCTCTGTGATATGAATCTTTCTACTAAAGCCCAAAAGTTATATAAATGCCACTTCCCTACTTTTCAACATGATAAAAAATTAATTTGATATTCAAATTGAAAGATTCAGACATGTAATGCAAAAGATTTTCTAAATCATTCTCGTTTCTTTTAATTCCAAGACAAATAAATAATACATGCATCTTCTTATATGTATGTACATATTTAACAAAATGGGGTGTAACGAAAGAAAAGTCACATACTTGCTACCATAAGAGCTCTTCTTTTTTAAAGAATGCTTCAAAATAATATTGAGGAGATGCTATTTTAGCAGCCACTCGCATCATAAATCGGTTCTACACATGTCTTAACCAAATTCTTTCCTCACTTCAAAGCTTCAACAGCCTTATTCCCAAGATATTTGTAAGTATTAGTGAAAACTTTTTTGACCCGCAAACAACAGAAGAAAAGAGGATTTTGTACAAGGATTTGTTTCATTTAAGATGACAATTCTGATTGTTCTTTTATATGGTTAATATATTTTTATAGAGGTGATCTGTCTATTTATTTTTTATCTTTTTAAGTCAACTTGACATCTTTATGCTTTGCATTGCTCAATGAGTATGGACAAATGGCATGGCTTGATTTCCCTCTTGCTATTCATTTGATATCTTGTTTTCAGGGACAGATGCCAGCAAGGTGAGCTTATGTTGATTTCTCTTACTGTATCACTGAATACCTTCTGTGTTTGCTTGCAAATGCAAAATTATTGAATTCTTAGGCAGATGCTGCATTCGGGGAGGAATTAAGCCTTATAGAAAGTGATAAGGACGAGAGTTTACCGAAAATTGGATTGCAGATCCATAGGAAAGTACATAAACTTCACATGCGCTCACAGGCTGATGAATTTTCATATAAAGATAAGTTCTCTCGATGCTTTACTGATATCCGTGAACAGATGCTTCCCTTTGCTAGTTGTTGGGGAGCTCAATCTTCGAACTTATGTTCTCAGCCGCAGAGGAAGTCATCTAGACTGTTATCTAAGAGGTGCATTTCATGTTACTTGTAAATTTTCTGTGGTTTCTTATGATGACAATACTTTGAATATGGTGCTCCCTGATTCATCAATATTCAGTGTAATCTTCAAATATTTTATTGACCGCTATGATGCTCTTCTAGAAGTAAGGAAATGTTTTTCTTTAAAAAAAGATTAATTAAAAGGTTATGCATTGTTTTACTTTTTCTCTCTTCTCAATTAGTTTTTATTTAGGGAATCTTTCGTTACTTTTAATTTACTTTGAACCACATTTAGATATTGTTAAATCTTACATTTTACTTTATTTTTTTACTGCATTTTCTTTGTAGTGCTATTTTATTCCCTTTTTGCTAGCATACAGGAGGATCCCCTTTGAAAGTTTTCCGGCAAAGGCTAAGCACAAATTTTTTGATGAAATGTGATCATAAAAATATGGTTACAAGAGACTATATCTAGCATGAAGATGTGAATGTATACGTGGGCTTATAGATGCCATTAAGGTGATTGATAATAGTCTATGTTGCATCGATGCACCTATTTATGAAGGCGTGTTGTATCCGATACACCGATACGCCTCCGATACAGCACCGATACGTGTCGGATACGGCTTTGCCATATCCAATTAAAATACTATTTAATGTCAAAAGGATACGCATATCCGATACGCGTGTCCGTTGAAAAACAAAAAAAAATCCGAAAAATAAGACCTGTCGTATTTACTTTTGTAGCTGCGAGCGAGGTTCTCTCATTTCCGAGATGGATTTGAGTCTCTTGATGATATGGGAATATTAGAAATTGCTAATCTTTCACTTGATGAGCTTGAATTAGAAGCTATGATATTTATTGAAGGTGTTATAGAGGTTCAAAGAAAAACCACTGAAGAAGCTAATCATATCATTCCTTCTATTGAATAGTTGAAACTTCATGTACTAGACAATTTATGTTTATGCTTTTGTTGTTGTACTAGACATTTAATGCTTACTTTTATTTTGATATTATAAGCTACAAGGCTACAAATGATGTTACTTTTTTTTTTTTGTAATTTCAAAATATTATGATTTGGTTGCTTTCTTAATTTTTATGTATGATTTATAAATTATAATGTCGTGTCCGCGCCGTATCCGTTTCCTGTATTTTTAAGAATTGACGTGTCCCGTATCCATATCGTGTCGTATCCGTGTTGCCGTATCCGTATCGGTGCAACATAGATAATAACCAAAACGATAAAAAACACCGTGCAGATTTTTTGTGAATCTTGGCTGTACTCGAAAGCTGGCACTTTAATGTGGAGTTTGCACTTCTACTTGATGACTTTGATCAGCTGTAGTACTTTGTGGACTGTTCTGGGAACGTTGGTCTCTTATATATGCTGCTTTTTAAACTTATGCTGAATATTATTCCTGCGGATATTCAACATCTGTAAATGGCCTATCGTATCTGACCTAGAAATATTAATTTTCTGTTGTGTACTTGGTCTTTCAGGAGGAGAGCTTGCTTGGACTGGGACTTGCTAGAGTGGGAGTTTGAGAAGGTAGGTGTATTTATTTCCCCTTGATTTTATTATGTAAAGCTTTATTTAAAATTAGTTTGAGCTGAATACCCTGAGGGTAGAATATTTATTCCCTTATGCATTTATAGATAATAACTTTAATGTGCGAACTATGGATACCCTTATTTTGAAGTTCCTCGCTAGATCTTTTTAGCAGCCATTATCTGCATCCTCTCCTTCTACTATGAAGTTTTAATTTTGTTTAGTAATCCTACCTTCTTCGGTGCTCTGCATTATTATTTTTTTGTTCTTGTCCATGCAACTCATTTGTTTAATGCCTTTGGCAAAGTCTATAAAGAAAAATAAGAGAACCTCATCTGTTTCCTCTTCATTCTGTTTCTCTTTCTTCATCCCTCTCTATATCGTTGGGATTATGGTTACTTGTATTCATAGGCTCCTATAGCATATCTTCGACTTCAGTGATCAATATCAAGCAAGAAAGAATATATTGAATTTGATAAAATAGCCATTTGCCTTTTTACTTGTTATGTTGATCTTTTTTTCTCTTTGGATTCTTAGAAATTATTGAAATCAATGAAACTTAAAACTTCATCAAAATTAGTTTATCCCAACTAATTAGGCTTCAACTTCATGAATCTTAATTCTCATATTCATTATTTTTATTGTTGTTTGAGGCATTAGTTTTATTTTTTTCAAATCATTTTGCACATCTAGCCTTGTTAACTATAGTTTACCTCATTTCCTCCCTAATTTTTAAAATTAATTTATACCTATTGTTGGTCATTTCAAAGCTGCGTAAGAGTTTTTTCAACTAACTTATCTTCAATGATTGCTACTCTTCTTATTTATAAAATAATAATTTTTTTGTTTATCCTTTTTAGTTTTGCAAGTTATCCATTTTAACATTTTTTTATTTATTTATTTACTCTTAGCTTGATTATTGGTGACTTTTTCCCCCCTAAGACTCAAATTCATATATTATACCGTCTAAATTGTGGTTTTATCAAATTTATTTTCTTGTGTCCCATCATATTCTCTTATAGGATAGCATTCTTGAAGAACTTATATTTTTTAAACCTTCAATAACTCTTCAAATTACATTCTCATTTATATTTTTATTCTTTTATATTATTTATCCAATATAATTAAGCCCATCCTACTTAGTATATTTTGAGCTTCTAATAATATTGACTAATAATCATCAATTTTACACCCATAAAATTTCAAATGATATAGGAATTGTAAACCACAATATTTTGAAAAATTTCTATTAATTTAACTTTTGTTAGTTGTTGTCTAACTTATTAGAAATGTCATTTTCAAATAGGCTCACTAATCCACCAATGTGCTACGATTTGTTAGTGATAGCTATCCCACCGAGAATTATACCTTTTTCATTCCATTGCGTTGCAATTATTTTTCAAATAAAAACTCGGCAATAATTTATTTCTTTGAATGCAAGGCGTCAATCACTTTGCTGCATCCAAATATTGTAGTTGGCCTTTTTGATTGACAAAAGATCAAATTTATCCATGCTTACTCAAAATTAAAATACTTTTTGGCCATCAATGATATTTATCATTCGCTCACTTTTATTTCTTATCCATGTGTTATTTTAATACAAACCTCTTGACAAGGCCTTTGACAACTACTACTGATGAACAATAAGGAGATAATGTTTTCACTTCAATACGATAGAATTTTCCTAACATTGCCATAGAAGCCTAATCAAGCGATCAAAAGTTTTTTTTTTTTGTTTATAAATAGCATGCTAACAAAAAATTACTCAACAAAAGCAAATAAAGTAACAATTGCTATCAGACCCAATTTTATCTTCCATTTCACTTAACCTTAATAATTAAGACAGTCTACCCAAATGAGAATTACAAAATTCTCTTTCAATCTTTATAATGTAGCTTCTATACGACCTTATAATATTTTAGATCAACTAGAATCCTAATTTCTCTCTTTTAGGCTCTATTTTGTAATGCTTTATTGCTTTATATTGTTTGCTTGTGTTATTCAAGATGGCATATGATTACATTTAAGATTAATTTTATTATTTTAGCCATTTGGTTTTTCAACTAATTTCCAATCTATTTACAGGTTGTGTAGTTATGATTAGTGGGATGTCTATTAAATAATATGAAAAATTAGAAGAAATGTGGAAATGTTTAGAAGATAAATGCCTTAGAATTAATACAATAAAAGTTGAGTACATGATATATAATATCAGTAGGTATGATACTAGCATATATAATTAAACATTATTAGAAGATAAGATGATCTCTAGCTGTCATAAGTAGGGGCACCCCTTTTGTCGTATGCATTTACTTAATATACTTGTTGAGGACATGTGCTTGTCTCTTTTTCTTTTTTTTGGGCATCTTCAAATCTTCAAGCCATCATGTGGCCATATAAAATCCCGTGGTTGTTGTATAGGGTTTTTGTTGGGATCATTGTGAGATGTATCGAAGTCTTTGCACTATTTTAAATATTTTGAAATGCTAGCATCATTGTGAAGTGACACTAAGTCTTATTTTTGGAGGTAGCATGATTATGGAGGAATCTGTGAGACAATTTTTGTTTTCTTTTCTCCATTAGGGACTTTAAAATGTTTGCACTACTGTAAGATGCTGATGAGGACATCCATAGAAGATTCCGGCACACATACCATCGAAGAGGTCGTCGAGCGACGGCCATGATTCAGAGTCTTTATTTTTGATGTATTCATGCATGTTCTATTTCATGTTTTTCCATTTGTACCCTTATGAGGGAGTTAGTGTTTATTGTAGCCCAAGGGCAATGTTGTATTTTTTTGACTTTTAGTTTCGGTTGGCCTATATATAGGCTTTATCATTGTATTTGGTTTTTAGTTTTTGAATGAATGAAATTTTCCTCTATTGATCTCTTAGGGAGTTTGTGTCATCCTTCAAGATCTCTTAGTGAGTTCTTGAAAGGTGGAGCTTGTAGATCTCTTTGTGAGTTCTAATGAAGTAGGTGCATGAGGTTTGAAGTTTTCATCCAAGTCATCCGGATTTTCTCCTTGATTTTCTATCCCTACTTCTCCCCTTCCCCTTCAGCCCTTGCCGTCGGCCACCTGGGCCGCCCAAGTAGCCGGCCGACCGCCCCCAAACCCGTCCAGCCCGCTTGCCCCATTCTCCCGTCTCCCCCCCTCTTGCCCACTCTACCCGCCGGCCTCTCCCCCTTGGTTTGAATTTGAAATTCAAATCTCCAAGAGTCTTTGATTACCTTCCAAAATAATTCCTAAATTTTAGGCCATCCTCATAATGGGATTTCAATTCTAAAATTTGAAATTCAAAAGCTACATAATGCTCACATGTAATTTAGGAAAGCTCTTTTGTGTTTAAAGCTGAAATTATTTCAGAATTTATTCAAATCAATTGCATAATCAAGTGGGCCCCACCTCCTCAAAACCTTTCCCCTTTCTCCTCTAGCTTGGCCGGCCTCTCCTTGGATGCCTTCTCTCTCCCAAATTAATTCCCAATCTCCACTAATTCAGCCCCAAATCTCTCCCCTTGGCCGCCCCTCTCTCCCTCTTAGACTTGATTTGAATTTTCAAATTAATTCTTCCTCTAATTGCCTAAAATCTGAATTTCTCTCAGAATTCTTGCACCTCCCTCCTTTCCACCCACCCGAGCTCCTTCTCCCTCCCTTCCTCTTGGCCGCACCTTTCCTAGGTGACAATTCCTCCACCTTTCATTATCACGACGCCAAGATTTCCCATGAACATGCATGGCGGATCCCGAGCTTGAGGGCCGATTGGTGTTTCACGTCTACGGGAATATTCACGTACTTTGATCCCCATTCTTTGACGTGGGGTTTGACCACGACGACGACACAGTTGGAGGTTACTTGGATCAAATCCTCCCTACCCTTGTGCATGTTATCGACGAACAATTTGCAGACTACGAGTGGATCATCGAAGGTCGCCATTTCTTGCCACATCCACATCCTAAGCCTCCCTCTCCACCTCTACGGATCGCTGGTGCCGTCTACCTCGGAGTGATCTCGTTTCTTGTGTGGTTCTTCTTCCTCCGACAACCCTAGATGTAGAAGAGTGATTTTAAGCCTCAAGGCGAGACAAATCGCATTGTTAACCGCCGGATTCTAGTTGGCTATTCATTTTCATTACTTGTGATTGATGTTGTTATTTTTTAGATCTTGCAAACTTAGTTGTAACGACTTGCCTAGACTGTGTTAACTTCTAAGATCTTTATTGAATCGTCAAATTTGAGAAGCATTAAATTGTATTATAATTACTCTAACAAAATTTTATTAATTTCTAAGAAACAATTTCTGGTTTCACATCAGATGCACTGATTTTGGAGCATTTAACTTTGTTGGGGCTTTTAGGAACTTCAACACTATCGTGAGGTAGTACATGACCATGTAATACGTGTTTTATTGTTTTTTTGGGGGCTTTTTAGTTTTGGCATTATTGCATAGCAACACCAGGTATTTGTGTTCCATTGGGAATTTGGAGTTTTATTACAATCGGGAGGTGAACTTGAACTTTTTGGTCAGTGGCATTGTTCCTTTGGGGCTTCTGAGAAGCTTGGTATGTCTTCTTATGCCATGGCTTTGAACCGACTTATTTGTGTTGTTGAATGTGAATTTTTGATTGGTGCAAGTCTTTAGTATAATTTTTGAGGGAAGCTTTTCATTGTGCTGATGTGAGATCTTGATTTTCTACATGATGGCTTTTTTTCTTCTTTTCCCTAAGTTATGTACTTTTTATCGAGATTTTGGGTGTCTTATTTTGCTCTTAGATTTTTTCTTCCTTTGTAAAATTGATGATTTTAGATGCTCTTTATATTTGTCCCTGCGAGCAAATTTTCTGTATTTAATTTACTTTAAAATAGACTAAACATTACACTAATTTGTAACAACTTATTTTTATGTGTATCTATTTCTGTGCATCAATTCCTAAATCTGTATCAGTAACCCTAGATCCTATGAAAGTCCTCCATCATCATGCAGAAGAAATTTGTTTCCTTGACAGTTCCATGGGAACAATAATACATTGACGGTCCAATTTATTTCTGAGAACAATGAGAACAAATTATAATTTTCCAGTTAAGTTACAAAATCATAGCAACTATAAAATCTCATCCATCTTATTTTTGCTGCAGCCACTTAGATTTATTCCCGTTGTTTTATTTTGGTTCTCCCTAGCTGCTTCGCCTTCTTCTTATTGTTCTCTTCCCCATCCCCGTCCTCGTTTTTCCTGTTTCCAATGTTGCCATGCTCTCCTATCTTATGTTCATTTTTTTATCCCCTTTTCAGTCTTTTGTCTATTCTCCTGTCAGCGGCTTACCAAATCAAATATTCTCCTATTACTCTAACTTAGTTTAATTTAGGCTTGATTTGTTGAATTTGAATCTAAACGCTTTGTTAACTTTATACCATTACATGTTGGCTTGCTTGATTTGTCAAATGAAGGTTGAGGATGTCGTTCTTCTTGATGATGAAGATCTATGTGGGGAGAAAATAGATGGACCAAGTGATGAATGGTGGGTTAGAATTTTCCTACTTCTTTTGGCAAACTATGGAGTTTCTCACGCTCCAAGCATGTACGTCTTCTGTAGAAGTCTTAATGTGAGTTTGATAGTTGCCATTCTTTTTCCAGGAAGGAAGTAAAATTATATTATCCTTCAAGGTGCGGATCTAAAGCTAAGATATGATGTGGAGTCATACCGAGCTAATGAATTGGTTATTGCTTCAACTCAATATCTTTGTGATCTTTCCTTACAGGAATGACCCAGAATCTGTAGCACTTTCATACTCAGACATGGAATGCCTTAATCCTGAACAATTCTTGTCATCGCCTGTAATGAACTTCTACATTCAGTGAGTATATTTAGTTTATGTTCTGATCATACCATGCATTCAATTTATTACATTTTTCCTCCGTAGCTTTCTTTTGTCTTACACAGATAGTTTGTTTGAGGGCTTCAATTCTATGATATTGAAATAGTAAATCCATTTATTTTGCTTATCTCATTTTACTTTTCTTGTTAAGGTGAGTTCACTAAAAGAGTTTGATCATAACAGTTGGAATCATTGTTTAGGCAAACTTTCTGTCCATGTCAATCATTTTAATGAACTTTCATAAACCTAATTAGTGATTGTAATGGTTAGAGTAATTTGGATTAAATTTGAAGAGTTAAGGTACTAAATTAGATGCATTAAGTTATCCGGGACTAAAATAGCCCCCCATATATAATCCCGGGACTATCTTGATTATTTTCTATAATAAAAGTGTATAGAATAATAGCTTATGTTCTCTACAAGAATTGAGCAACCAATCTGGTTAGAACCTCTAAATCACTAGAAAATAGGGCATAGCCTTTGCTGTAAATGGCATCATAGCCTTTGCTGTAAATGGCATCATAGATTCACAATATTACATATGTGGATAATTTAATTTTTGGCTGAAATGAAGTCTGTAAGTTTTGTTTTCTATCTTTCACAAACGCTGGGAGTTTCACAAGGTGTAATAGAAACATGTAAAAAATTATTTTTTAAGTGTTGTTGAATCTTCACCATTGAAGTAATATACTTTCTATCACACCTTGAATTGATGTATGTTTAATGGTATGAAAGTAATTACTACATGACTTTCTTTGAATTAAATGATTATTTTTTGTTTGAAAATTGGTTTTATTTTTTGTAGCACGCTGATAATAAATAATTATTATGACCATACCATAAATATTAATCTATTGATGTTAGATTGGGTAAGGTGGTGAGGAATTTTGAATAAAGGTTATATTCTTTGGTTCGTTAGAAGCTATGTTGCACCGATACGGATACGACACGATACGGATACGGGACACGTCAATTCTTAAAAATACAAGATACGGGTACGGCGCGGACACGACATCATAATTTATAAATCATACATAAAAATTAAGAAAGCAATCAAAGCATAATATTTGAAATTACAAAAAAAAATGACAACAACATCATTTGTAGCCTTGTAGCTTATAATATCAAAATATAAGTAAGCATTAAATGTCTAGTACAACAACAAAAGCATAAACATAAATTATCTAGCACATAAAGTTTCAACTATTCAATAGAAGGAATGATATGATTAGCTTTTTCAGTGGTTTGTCTTTGAACTTCTATATCATCTTCAATAAATATCATAGCTTTTAATTCAGGCTCATTAAGTGAAAGATTAGTAATTTCTAATATTCTCATATCATCAAGAGACTCAAATCCATCTCGGAAATGAGAGAGCTTTGCTCGCAGCCGCAGAAGTAAATACGAAGTTTGTCTTTCAATGGACACGTGTATCGGATACGCGTGTCCTTTTGAAATTAAATAGTATTTTAATTGGATACATCTTTGGCGTATCCGACACGTATCGGTGGAGTATCGGAGGTGTATCCGTGTATCAGTGGAGTATCTGAGGTGTATCCGTGTATCGGTGTATCGGATACAGCACGCCTTCATAAATAGGTGTATCGGTGCAACATAGGTTAGAAGTAATTATCATTAAACTTGGAGGATCCTGCTTATGCTAGATAGCCGTTTTCAAAATGGTAGTGTTTCCTAATGAATAATTGCATTTCAATTGTAAAAAGTTTGATGTTTAACAAAGATCATATAAATGTATCTCAAAGATAACCAAAATAGATATTGAATTCTAGAATTACCATATGATTGACAATATGAAAAAACAAGAGATTTTTTAGTTAGTGATGAATGTTGAGTATTGACCTTCATATATGCTCCACAAATTATATGCTCAAATGCGGCGAAAGCCATCTCATGAAAGTGGTTCGAGACACATCACACAAATCAAAATTATTTAAATGTCAACCATTTCGTGCAACAGATTGTGTCAAATCTTATTGAGCAACAAGGATGTGATGAATCGAACCCATTGTAGTTGATTTAGTAAAAAATAATGAAGTGGATGACTTATGGACTTAAGATCGCGCAAATCGATTTTTAAACCCATCGATCAGAATAAAAAAATCAACCATTTCATGGAATAGGTTGCGCTGATGCTTTTGGAGCATCGAGCTTATCACGAATGGACCTATCTTGTTGTTGATTTTGTCAAAAATAATGAAGAGGTGACCAACAACTCTAGATTGTGCAAATTAGGTTTGAAGCACCTGATCACATTCATAATCAACGAATGGGTTCCTGCTTTGCTTGTTAAACTCGACCGATGCATCAGTAGCGCAAAGTTATCAAGAAAAGACATTCGTGCTCAATTTAAGAAAACAGAACTCAGACGACAAACAATGGACGTGACGTCGCCGAAATCAGGTTAAAATTCCTCAATGACACTTATAGTTGCTTAAACATCACCCATTCAAAAATTGACTAGGCCCAACGTGTCCAATATGTCAAAATTATTTGGAAAAGAGGCTCGTTTGTTGACATATATTTTCACATCGACAAAATTCCAGCCCGGATCGAGTCGACTCGAGCCCGACTAGGCTCGATCGTGCTCGATCCACTCAATTGAACGCCGTCGAAGTGAAATAGGACCCCAATTTGTTGAAATTAAATTTTAATTTCATTGAATTAACCTAAATTTAATTAAATTCAATTCAATTTAATCAAATTTAAATCAAATCGGTTCCCCGTCGATTGTTTTAGAGCCCAATTCGACGCAATCCGGCGCCGATTCGAGTTCAATTTCACAAAATTAACTTGATCGGACCCACTCAGACACAAACCAACCCAAATCGGTTTGAGTCAAGTCCGATTCGGGCTCAATTTTCATCCCTAATTTATCAATTGAGGCTATATTAACCTCCCAAATCAAAATTTCCAAATCTAGGGCTCATATTTTATGTAAAATCTCACCCAATTTACATCAAACTCTTCAATTCGCACAACGAGGCAGCTTGAGTGGGCTGCTGCTCGTGCTTTCCAAGAGCACACAAAGGGAGAGGGGGAGCATTCGGCTCCCCCGTTTTTTTTGGTCCGTCATGAACCAGAGAACAGAGAGAGCGAGAGAAAGGAGCGGGAGAAGGGATTCCGCCCCCTTTTGCGTGCGTCTCCAGGCGCGGAAGAAGGTGGCGGATGCGGGGAGCTCTTCCTGTGAGGTCATCCAGGCCGCCAGTTCCTCAAGCCCAGGCCCTCCAGGACGTCTGTCTCCAGGCAATCGAGAGAGACCAAGAGGGAAGGAGAGGTGTTCGGGTAGGCTTCTACAGGCCGGCTGAACCTGTGCATGTTCTTTGCTGCTGTTTTCTTCTTCCTTGGACTAAAAGAGGGAAGTTTCTTTCTATTTTCTTCCATCTCTTCAAGTGGAAGAGCAAAGACCTGCTCTTTTCTTTCTCTCAAGCAAAAGGGGTAAGTGTTGGAGTATAGTGGAGGCACTTGGAGTCTGTCTACTTGCTGTGGAGACTTCTTCCACCCCTTCATTCAACTCCGGTGACCTCAAAACAGTGAAAATTGCTGTTTGGAACGTTTGGACAGCAAGCGATGACTTCCAGGAGCCTTCAAACATCAAAAACTGCTGTCCGGAGCACTTTGGACAGCAAATTCACCCTCTGGAGTTGCTTGGACAGCAGCGGAACGTTGGGAAAAGCTTGGACAGCAGCTACGCAGCGTCCGGGAGCCTTCTAACATCAAGGACAACTGTTCAAAAGGACAACTGTTCGGAGCGCTTTGGACAACAAATTCTTCCTCCTCGTTAGCGTGGACTGTTCTTGGAGCTGGATTGGAGCGCTTGGACAACTTGGGAGAGGTAAAACCTTGAAAACTTAGGAAAAGCTCTAAGGCCCTTAGAAAGCTTCATTTTTGCTTCCCCAAAACCCTTTGTTCTCAGTTCTCTCCGCAAAACAGTGAAAAATTCATGTATTTCACTTGTTTGCTCACTTGTGAGAGCCAAAGAGACATGACAATACGCGTTGGGGTGTTGGATTGGTATCCAACTCCTTTCAAATGCATGTAATAGCATTCATATTGTGTTCAAACCGTCGCCTATAACAAACCTAGGCTTCATCGTCATAGCATCCAAATTTGGAGGCTATGCATTTGACAAAATCAATTGCATGGTACTTATGGTTTAGATTATGCCAAAATTGACCTAAATAAGATAGCGTAGGTCTCTTTCTCTAAGGATTGCATGCTCTTAGAATTGTTGGGAGACCATTAAGCATGTTCATTTGATATATGGGACAATCTTGTGGTAAGTGTGGGTTTCTAAAGAGCCATAAGCCAAACCCTCATGTGTTCTTGAATTACTTAAACATGCTTTGCATCTCTTAATTCTCTTGGATAAGAATGATGGTGAATGATCCTCTAGCATGCGAACTATCTAATTTCTGTGTCATGACAAAAAAACAATATAAACTTTGGAGAGTTTGAATGTAGGAATTGATAGTCTCTATAAGTCAGTGAATGTCTAATGAATGTGTTTGGTTGGAAACAATATCGTTGACAACCAATCATTGTGGAGTTTCCCATAGACCCTTAAAGGTCTATGTTGTAAACCCCACAATGTCTATGAACAATCACTCATGATTGATCTTTTCACTAAATTTTGAGCACACAAGTGATGATCATTGTTGGTTTATATCCATCACATTTAGGATTTGGAAATTAACTAAATGGGCTTATCTAACCTTGAAGTGGGTTTGAGATATGGCATGGGCCCTCAAAGGCCCATGAGCCCTCATGCTCAAGTTTACCTAACTCCATTTGTGTGATTTTCTAAATCCAATCATCGAATGCAATGATCAAAATCCTTAGAGATTGAAACCTCGCATCAATGTTTTAATAAACCAAGTCCTATTGAAATTGATCTTTAGGGTCTTCCCAGAAAACCTTCAATTATCATTCATGACAAAATTGATTGGATTGTTCTTAGA